ATTTTTTATTTTATTTTATCAATTAATTATTAAAATATTATAAAAAATAAATATATATATATAGTGCAAGTATTTTTTTTCACTGTAACTTTATTAAATATTTTTACCTTATATCTCGAGTGTATAATTTTTATTAGTTAAAAAGTATATTTAAGTATACATAAAACATCATGGGTGACGATATTGAATTTTCATTCGACGACACATTTGAAGATCACTCGGTTGATTCTGATCATGCTCCTTCAAGGTCAAATTCTCTTAAACTCAATAAAACTGCTGCCACTGATAGTCAGAGGAGAAAAGAAAAGCGACGATCAAAGGTGAGGATTTTAAGCTCATGTAAAATGTTTGTGTCGCGATTGTCTTGCTCTTCAACTATATCTCTTTTTTCATAAATCTAGCTTTGGTATGAAAAATCAAATTCCCAAGCTCAAAGTGACAGCGAGCAGAGCACGGGGACTCAAGAAACTATCCCTACTGCAATTGTTATAAAAAACATTCCGTTCTCTATAAAGCGGGACGCGCTATTGGCTATTCTTGTAAGTGATAAATTATTGCGTCATATGATTCAATGTTTTAGGATATGGCACCATAAATCTTATATTGTCAATCATTATTTTATCATTAAATACATTATCAAATTAGAATAATCTCGACATACCTAGACCTTATGCATTCAACTATCATTTCGATAATGGAGTTTTCCGAGGACTGGCTTTCGCTAATTATCGAACACCAGAAGAAACAGATCTAGTAGTGTCAGCATTAAATGGGTATGAAGTTTCTGGTAGGAAACTCAGGGTTGAATATAAGCGCGTATTGCCTGCTGCGGAGAGAGAAGCAAAAGAAAGAGAAAAGATTGAAAAACAAAAGGCAGAAAAAGAGCAACAGAATCAAGATTTGCGTGTACAAGAAAAAACTGATTTCGAACAAGCCGATAAGTCAAAAACAGTTAACAGCGAAAATGAGAAGCAAGACAAAGAAAAAAAAGAGTCAGAAAAAAAGAGTCTCGGTAATTAATGTTTAATACCGATAAAATTTTATGATGCGTATATACTTGA